TTTGACTCAGTCTTTGCACGGTCGCTTTGTAAACACTAAATCTGTTCTTCCGCCTTCGACACACGTGACCTTTCAACCTGATTTTATTTTGTTATAAATGTCGGCTGGTTTGTCTAGATCAGACTCTTATTCCTCGGCTGGATCGTGTCGAGACTTTGAAGCTGCACTGAAACTCACATCTGGACCTTCGACCCGTTGGACCCCATTGAAGTCACTGTATGGAGAAACCCTGGAGTGTGTTCCTCAAACACCTTCATTTCTCTTCGACTGAAGAAAGAAAGACATGAACATCTTGGATGACGTGGAGGAGAGTAAATTATCAGGACATTTAAATTCTGAAGTGAACGACTCCTGTAATGCAGCATTTTGAGCTGGGTGATCGGTCCGATGTCTCACAGCTGTGTGTTTGGCTATCTTGCCCAGATTGACGTCTTTTCCCAGCAGCAGGTCGTCACTGAGGCTGGCCAGCATCGTCCGGCGCTGCTCCTCGCTCAGGCTCTCGATCGCCACCTGGTGCACAAACGCTGCCATCACATCCGAGGACAGCTCTCTCTGCCCGCTCACAGACCCCACCACAACCACACTGCAGGAGGAGAGGACAAGCGTAGCGTGGCTGAGGAGCAGGGTTGCGGGTGACGCTGTCAAATCTCGAGCCAGTTTGCCGAGTTACTTATTATGTTTACTCACTTTAATGGGGAAGTTCGTGTAAGCCAAATCTGTGCAGATTTAGCGCAAATGCTCAACTGATGAGTCCTCATGATATATTAAACACAGCGTATTGCGCTTGATCTGCTCATATCTGGCTTACTTGAACACACACGTCTCTACGCAACAAATGGTGGAGCGCTTGATCATTTGCATTGAAGCAAGAAGATTAAAAAGCATTTGGTTAACAGAAAAGACTTTGCCATTTTACGACATCCTACATTTTATGCTGTTCTTTGTGCTGTATTGATCTGTCACATGTTTGGTGTTTGGAAAAGGATGAGGATGAAAGAGGAAGAGGAGATGCTGGATGACAGGATTTTGTTTCAGAAAGAAATGAATGTATGAAATCCAAATTATATTGTATATAAGCTGTGGCGTAGTTAATATGGTTTATTTCTTCTTCTTTTTTTTCTTTTTTTTGGCTAGTAGAGGCTCTGAATGGCCAGTAACTTATTTTGTAGCCAAATTGGCTGGTGAGTGCAAAAGTTCCTTTCAACCCCTGGTACACCAGCAGGAGTCCCCTCTACGCTGCAGGTGTTGCTGTCTGAGCCTCACCTGGCATGAGCTTCTGCCACGAGCCGGCAGAGCGAGGCGGCGACCCTGGAGTCGGTCTCGGGGCCGAGCAGATGCAGGTTTCTCATCAGCAGAACACATGGGTGATGGAGCTCTGCTCTCTCGAAGACGGACTTCATCTTAGCCTCGCACGCGGCGGCAGTGTCGGCGCAGAGAGTCACGCAGTCCACCTGAGCGGACACACACACACACACACACACTCATTTACAACTCCGTCATATCAGAACATCAGACCTTTAGATATCAGAACTTTGAAAATGTGACATTAGTTCCCTCATTGTAATTCAGTTATATCATGGCAACAAGTGGCATTTGTGTTTCCTGTGCGCTTCACGAGAGACTGAACTTATGAAGATGTTGATACTCATAACTGCAGAAAAACTCAAGAACAATAATGAAGAGAAATCCCCGATCACCTTAATCAGATGCAGATGTAGCCTCCTGCTAGCCGCTCTCACCACGGTCACTTTCCCACAGCCGCTCGGACCCGTCAGGAGAACTGAACAGCCTCCGTTTAATGCAAGAGAGCTGCGATATAGTCATGTTTAAACTTATACATATATGTGTTAATTAACATCTTGTTACTTCAGCATTCCAGCAATATATAGAGTAACAGCTACTAGTTAAAACATGTTCCAATGCAGTAGTTCTCCACCAGAGGGGTCAGGATGACTTAAACGTGTTTCAATTAATAAATATGCATGAATAAATACATTTAAATCCAGCCTTAAAAACACATAAAATCGAGATGTAAACTGAAATCATGTTTCTGTTTTACTTTTTTTTTTCTTAAAAACTATTGTTTCTATTGAAGAATATGCAGTACAGAATCACAAAAATGTGCTTCATTTATTTCATATATTGATACTCCAGGGCTCTGTTAATAAAAACACGAGCAGCTTTTGTCATAATTACATCAGAAATAGTTACAAAGTCAGAATTGCAAGATATAAAGTTGCATAAAATAAAGTTGTGATTGTGAAAATGAAGTCTGAATTTTTTTCTCTCACAATTGCCCACTTTTTTTGAAGATTTAAACTTGCAATTTTGAGTTATAAAGTCAGAATTACATTAAATAAACTTGCAATTGCAAGGGGAAAAAGTCAGAATTGCAGGTTTATATCGCAGAATTGCAAATAAAATTCCAGAATTGTCCCTTTTTCCGAGATGTAAACTGATAAAAGAGGCCAGAGTTGTCAGACTGAAGCGGCTGTACCTCTGGCTGAGGTGCGGCTGGATGACGGTGAGCAGTTTCTCCACAGCGCTGCACAGGCCAGCGGGACTGAGACTCCTCCAGAGGGACGAGCCCTTCGGCAGCACAGAGCAGGGACACGGGCTGTGGGCGGAGCCTCCCTGTGACAGCCAATCAGAGCTTCAGCAATCTGCACATGACAACTGTATGACTTTGACTCCTGTGAATGTGACTTCATTCCTCACCATGTACAGTGAAGTGTGACTGGAATCAGCCAGATATGAAGAAGCCTCGTCCTCCTCAGCAGAAAAACCACACACCTGCTTTACTCTGAAATACAGCACTGGCCACCTGCCAATCACAAACATGCAAGAGTCTGACTCTCAAAGATCATTCATGAAATCTAAATTCTTCATTTGATGGACTATTGCAGTGTTTATTATAAATGATTTATCTGTGCACATTAGTATTGTTTTAAATTCATGTTCTGGTAATCTTGAGTCAGAGTAACTTCTCTTCTCTGATGACGAGGGCGGGGCTATAACCTGTCAATCACATGAGATCAGCCAATAGCAAACCACAGCCATCCAATCAACTCCCCACAGACACAATCAAGCCCCGCCCACATCTGTTCTTGATCCTGAAGCGTTTCACTCGGATATACGGCACAACAGGGAAGAAAAGACCAGCGCATCTTCAGTGTCATGCGAACATTAGCGGATCTGCTGAAGATGAACCTGCAGCTGAGGATTCCTTCAGAGCTGTTCTCTATCAGATCCGGATGTCCTTCCGATGGGATTCCCAGGATACTCCCCTGCTGAACAAGCCTGAAAACAAACACAGCATTCAGGGAAACAGACAGGCAGAGAGAGAGTGAGACTGATGGATGTGTGAACTCTGCTCGGTGAGCACCTGGGTGAGCTGAAGTGTGTGTGGAGGAGTGTGTCGAAGGGCCCGTGCGAGGCGTAGTCAGGAGAGATGACCGCTTCAATGTGCAGCTCTCGAGCAAACGCCGGCGCCGCGGATCGACACGCGCTCGCAGACGTCTGAGGCTGTGTGTGCTGAGACTCCTTATTCCACCTCTGCGTGATCAAGACACAGACACATCCGGTCACATGATCGGCCATCAGAGACATCACATGATCGGCCATCAGAGACACCCGGTCACATGATCGCTATAAAGTTATATATATATAAATGTGTCCATCTTTATTCACATACAGTAAACTCGTAAAGTGATATATATTATATAGCAAATTTTAACTGCTTGATTGTTTATATTGTCACAAAATGTGAACTATATTATCGCCACGCTCTAATCTGCTAAATGCGACAAATAAATGATGAGGAAATTTTAATTCTGAAGTAAACTACTCCTTTAATAGTAATATTGTGATACAAACATTTTTGAACAGAATTATTCCAGACGTCTTCACCTTAATTTTGATGGCCTTATTCCCGCCAGGCACTGCCATCCCCCCCGACAGGTTAAACCACTGAACTGCTGAGATCAAGCCCACACTGTCATTCCCATCCGGGAGCGTGTCGAAGGCTCTGACCGAGGCCAGGTGAACCCGTCCCTGCCTCTTACAGGCGCTCTCACCCTGTCCCGGGACCGGACTCGCAGACACAGGAGTCTTCTTGGCCTTATCCGCTGGGACGGACACAACGACCCACTCCCCGTTAAACACACCCAGCTTCAGCAACAAGCTCTTGCTCACAAACACACTGCTGTCAACGTCCAAGCCTTCATCCGCCTCTAGTCTGGACACGATTCCTCCTGGTTTCTGGAGATCTGACACATCGACCACCCGGATGTCAAGTCTGCATTCAAGAGCCTGTAAAAAAGCACTGAAGTCCAAGACTTTGCTGTTGAGCAGAGAGCTGGCAGAGCTCAAGCTGTTGGCGTACTGGGCGAAATCAGACACGCAGAGAGAGGAAGATGCCAGTCTGGGGCTGAGCATGATGGAGGAGGAGGAGGTGTTCAGGTCCAGATCTCTGCAGTCTGACACCAGCACACTCGTGTCCACTGTGATCATGCCCTGGCTCACAGGTGTGCACTCGAGCACCAGCACCTCCGACATCTGCGCATGCGCAGCGCCCAGTGAGTGATGGAAGGGGAGCAGAAGCGAGTCCCCCTGCCTCGCCAACAGAGTCATCCCGGGACAGGACAGCAGGACCAGCAAACCACTGCAGAACTGCTCTGAACAAGCCCATTTAAAGCTCTGCTTCGTCCTAGCGCCGAGCACAATCCTCTTTAAAGGCAGCAGGGACTGTGGGCGAACCGTTCCCAGCGAGTGCTCCTTCAGCCCGTAGTGTTTGAGGAAAGATCTGCTGGCGTACACAGCGAGACACGTGTGAGTGTTTACATCGCTCTCTTCTTCCTCTGGAGTGATGTGCGCGCACACCAAAAAGCCCCGATTAGAGGGGGACTGCTGGTCCGTCGGCGAAAATAACAGCACGTATGTGGGTTCAGTGTAGTCTGGAAACTTCTGGGTGAAGTGTGATTTGTTGATAAGCACGTGTAGAGGATGAATATGTGATGGAAAGTCGTCAAGACACTGCAGCTTCATGGGGGCCGCCATGTCTAAGACGCGCGCATGCGCAGTGAAACGAGATAAACTGACCGCTCCTGGATAAGCGGTAGATATTTGTTTTGCTCTTAAATTATTTGTTATTTTGTGTAAATGCTACTTTCAGGAATGTAAATGGTAGAAGATATTTTTTTCCCCTTCAAATCAGAATTATAGTCTTGTCTATATACTGAAACAGCGGGTAATAGAAAAACCAAAGAAGTTTGGTTTAATGCATATTTATTTATACTTTGTTTTATGTATTACATATTATATTATATATATTATATATTATACTTTTTAGCGTACAATCTATCTAACAAGACATAATCGTCGTTTTTCTAAAACATCTAGCGCCACCTGGAGGAATAATAATGTATTTCTCTCTCATAAGAAAAATGAAATTATTGGACACCCAATGAAAAAATATTTAATTATGTAAAACGATATGAATTAACATAATTTAATTATAATTACATTTTATTAATCAATTGATATAAATTGCAACTTATTTAATACAAATGTGTATATTTATATTCCTACAAGGATCAATATTCAGTCTGTCTGCAAAAAAAAATTACAACATAATTTTCTTTATGCGATATTTGCCAGTTTGACCCTGTGGAAAACTATTAAAGATTTGATTTATCAGTTGTTTTATCCATTTGATTTGTGAATTAAATATAACATGTGAAGATTTTGATGTGTTGCATACAAAAATGGCATATTATAAAAGATTTTGTGATATTATAACCTCTGTACTTTACACAGTCATATCATGGAAATGCACACTCTCAAGTCTAAGTTGTAATATTTTAATCCACATTCATGGCACTATTAACAAAGTATAATTTGGTCATTCATTGGATAGATCATAGGATCATTGTTAGAAACAGAACTATTGGGTGAACTATTAAAATGAACACAGCATGAAAAGTGAAAAGGCCTTTTAAAATGTGGATTCTGGCAGGTCTCAGCTCAGTGGTCTCGACCTGTTACCCATCCTGACATATGTGTTACTCTGAACATATATGTCAAATAAAACTCATACAATATAAAATATCATATATATATATTTGACCTCCTGACCACACTTTTTATTTTGAGTTTCAAGCATTTGTTCATACCCCATGTGTCGTTTGCTGTGCTGTCGTTAGCAGGAGTCGCCACTGGGCGGGAGATGTGCGCTGGGAACCAGAGCTCTTCAACACCGCTCCTACAGAGACCTGTGATTGCCAAGCAGTCCTGAAGAGCTTGATCAGCTGGTTCAGGTGTGTTTCATTAGGGTTGTTGTTGCTAAACTCTACAGGACAGTGGTTGAAGACCTCTGCTTTTAATGACAACGTTACACTTGTTGGTCTTGTTTTGATGCAAGTAAACAAGCTCTGCCTTAAACAGGAAGTCAACAAAGCAGCTCTACATGTGTTCAGAGGCATTTCACATAATGGGACCAGTAACTTTACTGAGATCCTTCGTGTCCAAACTAAAGTCGGTGGTTTTCCCGTCAGTTCCCCAGACTGTCCACCAGGGGCGTCCTTCATCTCGATGACTGAAACCTGCTCAGGGACTGTGCTGTGCAAACTGGAAAATGACATCTGTGAAAGCATCTAATCACTGATAGAGGCACAGAGGTAATACAGATACAAATATATAGGCATCATTCACTTTCTGACTTTGTAAATGGTTACAGAGACAAATTGGGCATCATACACTAAACAATGAGGATCACACTGTCAAATCATTCTGAACACATCAAACTCACGCAAAAACACACACCTCGTTTATAGAGATGCATAACAAATGAAAACAACACGTGTTCTAAAATCAGCTCAAAATATCAAAGTGTTTGATCTAATTCGACTCAGTCGAGTCAGTCTGAAAGTAAAATATCAGAGTGTGTGCCCTCATTCACTATACGGTTCAACGGGCCACAATCTGAAGACTGGAGGTCCTTACACACTGAGTGCGAAACTTTCGGATGCGTTTTTTCATTTTCATCATCCTAGAAATTATGAGTCCGATGTGCATTAATTAATCCGTTGCGAAAAAAATCATAAAACAATACAAAATGGAGTCTTCAAGCAGTGAGGATGATTTTGTTGTCCTCTCTCTTCTTAAAAAGAGAGGGAAAAAAGCAAGGACCTTGACTCTGACTTTCAGCAACTAGTGCTGAGATGTCCCGACTGCAAATCGGGATTGAAAGTTATTTTTATTTATTTGTTTATCAAAGGTAGTGGATGTGGCACGCAGGGCGAGGCCGAGAGCCGTGGGAACGAGTGTTAATGAGCGTCACCTGCGCGCCGCACCGGCTCGAGTCTCACAGAAGGAGATCTGGATGAAGAAAACGAGGAGCGACGACAGTGCAAGAGAGGACACTATTTAATAATTAAAGAGTTGAACCGTTCGCCGGTTCCCGCCTCCTCCTTCCCTGAACTCTAATCTCTTTACAGTGGATTTCTACCCTATCAAACACTTTCTCATTCTCCGTGGAAACTCCTGGAAGCTCTCTAGACATAGATGAGGACACACTTAAGGTGATGATACACAGGGCAACTTATTGAGCAATGTTGCTGGGAAATCTTGCCGAGCAATTTTTGCTTGGGCACCTTCCCATTGAAAATGGTCAATACATTTCTATCTGGATAATTTAGATCGGTCGTGGGCCCGGTGTCTTATCTGGTTGCCCGTTGACGGCAACATTGCCCAGCAGCATTGCTCAAAAAGTTGCCCTGTGTATCATCACCTTAAGGAGATGGCCACTGTTCAATACTTAGGGCAACTTTATTTACGACCCGATTGCTCGATTGCCTCAAATGGCACTCCTGTCTGATGGAGAGCGTGTAAGAGGGATTGGGCACAACACCAACACGTACGAGCGTCGGGGTTGCCAGGTTTGCGCAACAAAACCAGCCTATTTGCTATTCAAAACCCACCCAATCACGGCCAAATATAGCCAAATATAGCCCAATCACGGCCAAATATAGCCCAATCACGGCCAAATATAGCCAAATATAGCCCAATCACGGCCAAATATAGCCCAATCACGGCCTTCACGGCCAAATATAGCCCAATCACGGCCAAATATAGCCCAATCACGGCCAAATATAGCCCAATCACGGCCAAATATAGCCAAATATAGCCCAATCACGGCCAAATATAGCCCAATCACGGCCTTCACGGCCAAATATAGCCCAATCACGGCCAAATATAGCCCAATTACGGCCAAATATAGCCAAATATAGCCCAATCACGGCCAAATATAGCCAAATATAGCCCAATCACGGCCAAATATAGCCAAATATAGCCCAATCACGGCCTTCACGGCCAAATATAGCCCAATCACGGCCAAATATAGCCCAATCACGGCCAAATATAGCCCAATCACGGCCAAATATAGCCCAATCACGGCCTTCACGGCCAAATATAGCCACATATAGCCCAATCACGGCCAAATATAGCCCAATCACGGCCTTCACGGCCAAATATAGCCACATATAGCCCAATCACGGCCAAATATAGCCCAATCACGGCCTTCACGGCCAAATATAGCCCAATCACGGCCAAATATAGCCCAATTACGGCCAAATATAGCCAAATATAGCCCAATCACGGCCAAATATAGCCAAATATAGCCCAATCACGGCCAAATATAGCCAAATATAGCCCAATCACGGCCAAATATAGCCAAATATAGCCCAATCACGGCCAAATATAGCCAAATATAGCCCAATCACGTTCACTGGGGGTTCACCAGTAAACATCGCGTTCCGGTGGGTGGAAACTGAGTAATGGGGGTGGTTCTCTTCAACCCACGGACTGAAACCAACCCGCGGCTACAGTGTAGAAGTAGCCCGATCCCGGCCGCAGGAGAACTGGGGAACTGGGGAACTGATTGAATGGGGACCTGGATAATGCACTGCACATAGTTGAGGATTAATAAGCAAATTTTCTCAGCAAATGGCACTAATAAAGATTCTCTGTCACAGGTGGCAAATGTCTCCTGGAAACTTGGCTGGAGTGAGTTTCCGAGAGAGGACACAAACAGTTCAGCGTCATCTCTCTTTCCTACAACTGCTATGCTAATGACACACAACTCCAGCCGGATGATCTGACGGGAGCTCCTCACATCTCTGCTGGATGAAGGACCACAATCTTCACCTCAACCTTGCCAGGACAGAACTGCTCGTGGTCCAGGCCAACCCAACACAACCCAACTTCTCCAGGACAGCCAGAGGAGAGTTGTGATTGATGATCAGTTAAACTACACAGACCACATTGCTAGAACTGCCCGGTCCTGCAGATTTGCCTTATACAACATCAGGAGAGGAGGATCAGAAGCAGAAGATCCTTCCTCCGTCCACCCGTACTGCACATGGAGCTGCGAGATCGACCATCCAGACCACTGAGGTCTCCTACACACGCAGCCGATGTCGCACTACTGTACACTATTGTCAGCTTTCCTGGGTTCTCTCTACCAGTGCACATCTATCTTTTGAACAAGACCTGGATACACAAGGCTCAAGCAAGACGACACCATCCATTGGGAATAAAGTTTGGTGATCCGGTGCATATTGATGGCTTTCCCATGCAGAAGATGTCCTCAAATCCCAGAGGCAGAGCATTGAGAGGATGTATAGAGGTCAAAGACTCATCCGTGGCTTCCCAGTGACATCACCCTTTGTGGGTCCTTCCTCCGCCTTCCCAGAGTGCATCAGTAGCTCTGCCACAGCTGCTTCCTCCCAGACCATGAAGAGGGGACGACGGGAGAGACAGGGCATGTGGGAGGAAGAACCCAGAGGAAATCCTGCCAGCTGGAAAAAGTGGCGGGAGCGTGGAAGACTGGAAGTTGAAGACTGGAGTTACCTCACTCTTTTCCAGACATCAGGCGCAGGCGTTTCCTCAGCAATAGATCCCATAACATCAGACAAGATAGTCGACATCCCTCAGGAAACCTTTAAACTGCTTTGTGGCCGAACTCTCAGAGAAAATGCCACTTACTGCTCGGCCATTGCTAGGTTGGTTATAGGTATTAACAATAACAATGTTTAAATACTTCCATGTTTCCCAGACTGTGGGTGAGCCGTTCGGAGGTTGACTTCCTGAAAAGTGTGAAAACTGTGGCTCTGTGTTTGGCTAGTTACCCCCTCCATAATGGCCATGCTTACACAAAGCTCAAACAAATACTAATCCCTAACCTACACGCTAACCATAACCATACGATATACTGTCAGCTAAGTTATTTTCGTTCTTCACTTTACTTTTCTTCTATAAAGCGGCTCTCCAGTGCGTTCATGTTTTTACACGTGTCTGACCTCGACGGACTGAACTGAAGAAATGACCCGGAGAAGTTTACACCTCAAAGAAGGCGGAGCCTCAGAGTCCCGCCCACCTATTACATCATCACCACTGACCAATGGTGGGTGGTTTGAAGGTAACAAACTTTCCCAGAAAGTTCACTTTGGCAAGCTGTTTCAAACTCCAAACGAACTTTGTTTTGGCCTGATTTAACTCCAGTTCATTCTTTTATTTAGCTTTAATTTAATACATTATTTAGTTACTATTTCATTAAAGCACCGAGCTATATATATATATGAATATTAGCCTAATTGTCAGGACTGAAGGAGTTGTAGGGACTCCTGTGAGGAATCGTGCTTAGCAATAGCTTTAGCTCTTACTACAGGCTATACACAATCTGACAGGGCCATTGCCTCATTATACACTCATATTACATCCATATTTTAATTGTATTTTCTCTCATTTATTCATCATTTGTCAGTTCTATTTTTTTAAGACATGTCAATATCTTTTTTTGAACACAGAAACTGTCATGTGACATCCATCATGAATTGTGATGTACAAAAATGAATCAAATAAACAATACGAATAGAAACGCAATTTAAATATGTTGTTATTGTGTAATTTTGGTGTATTTTCACACATATTATGATGTATTACTTATTTTAGATGTGCATTGATATGTATAAAGCATGATTCAACAACTGAGTCACTCGTTGACTGGTTAAAGTGAGTGAGTGGAACTGAACCGTTGCTCCGCTCGCTTGTTTCACTCGGACTGTATTGAGGTGCGCACAGCTAATCATGTGACCGTAATACAGGAGAAGCTGCACTAAACATCATTTAATTTACAAATATTACCTTTATTTTGTGTGATGATATATTAAAAGCGTCAGAAAATGCTGTTAGTTTTATCTGAGGAACACAAGGAGCATTTAGGTTTCTTATCAGAAGTCGATTCTGCGGGTAAGTGATTCAAAAACTGCAGGAAACCAAACCTGTTTATGTTTATAGTATCTGTTTATCTGTAATAAATATACCCGTCATATAAGATGACAGTTACTTTTATGAGTAACAGTGGGGTTAAAAAGTTTGAGAACACAACTTGCTTCTATTTTTGTTTTCGTATTTCCACGTAAAGTCAGTGTTATGTGATATTTTGCGTTTATACAGAAGGAATCAGTAATATTTCATTTTAGCATAACATTTATTAGTTTCACATCTTTCAAAATGCTAAAACGTTCTCTTCATTTCTAAATAAAAACATAATAAACTATGGAAGCTTGTTTCCGCAACGAAATAAAAATACAATTAAAACGTAATTGTCTTATTATGATTTATCTCACAATTCAGACTTTTATTCTCAGAATTGCGAGTTTATATCTGGCAAATCAGATATTTTTTGTCTAATTGTTTTGAGGACAAAGTCTGAATTGTGAGAGAGCCTATAAAGTTTATTTTATTTTTTGATTCCATGTCGGAAATAAGCCAGGTTTAATGTGTATAACAGATATATTCTTTGTGTGTGAGAGAATCGTGACTGACGGTACCTATTACATAGAGTCTGTCTATCTAATGTCGTTCATAATGTTAACACACAAACTTCATCATCATAATCAATATAATAATAAAGCATCATATATGATCTCCAGTGTGGTTTTCTGTTTGCCAGTTGTTGGAGAGTTTGGCCGAATTGCTGTGGAGTTTCTGAAAAAGGGCTCAAACCCTAAAATCTTCGAGGGAGCGGCACGTGAGTGAAGTTGTGTGTTATGACTGTGCTGTTGTCGATGAGCGTATGAGTTGATCTGTGATGTGTTGAATGCTGTGGCAGGGAAGCTGAATGTGCCAGCGCAGAGCGTCCAGCACGGGGTGGAGGGGTTGATGTACCTCCTCACGGAGAGCGCCAAACTCATGGTGCGTCTGCACTGATCCTCCTCACACACTGCGGGACGGTGAGCCCTCGCTTCATAGCGCATGTCCATGTGTGATCTGCAGGTTTCGGAGGGGGATTTCCAGGACTCAGTGCTGGTGTTGGGGTTCTCGGAGGAGCTCAATCAGCTTCTTCTCCAGCTGTATTTGGAGAACAGGAAGGAGATTCGGCAGATCCTGGGCAAACTCGCCCCCAGCCTCCCACATTACCACAACCTGGAGTGGAGGCTCGACGTTCAGGTGCGACACACCGAGTCTCAGCACAAACATCAGCTGGAACTAACACTGTTAGAAATCAGTCTGGTTTATTGAAATACAGAAATAAAGACCACCAAATAAAGTGAAATATAAATATTAGATGAACAACTTTATTTCAAGTAGTAGTTTAAGTACAAAAAAGTACTAAAACTAAAACTGAAATAAAAAATCTTGCTAAATATAAATATTCAAACTAATAAAATAGATAAATGCACAAAGCAAAATTGCTAAAACTTTAACTAAATTTAAAATGTAAACTGAAAATATAAAAATAAAAGCAAATAATTAATACATATTGTTTTTCGTCCTCTAGTGACAAAACACGAACACAAAACGGACACATTTAACATTTTTGTGAATGTTAAATGTATAATTTTATACTCAAATTTATCATTTTATTTTATTTTTACATTCATTATTTATTAACTTTAAAATTATTTAAAAAAAACCCACATCATTATTATACATTCACACATTTTTTATTTAAAAAAAAGTTATTTTTAAAGAAAATTTGCAGCAACAGCTGAAAATAATAGTTATTATGATTATACAGTAAACACGAGACAGCAGTCCTCTCATATACAGTTTTGCTGGAAAATCATTCTAAATAATTGTAGTTTTGACAAAGCTTAAAAACTTCTTGGTTATTTTACCTAGCTGACAAGTTTACAGATATTACAAGCAGAATTACAACCAAATGTCACAGAAAAGCATGGGCCAGATTTACTAAACCGGGCAGATTAGGTGACAGGACCAGCTCTGACAGGAGTGTGAAGCTCTGCGCGTGATCTACTGACGACACACACATTAAAGATCACAGACGCAGCCGGATCACTTCCATAATGCCCAACACAGTCTCCCCAGAGCAGCGCAGATCACCAGCGGGTTTAAGACGTGCTTTTATTGGCATAAATAATGGCACAGATACCAGTAAATTGACGTGCGCATGCGTAGTAAATCACGTCGCATGATTCATTTAAATGCTCTCCTCCTATAAATGATGCGTCTGAAAGGGAATCTCCAACAAATGCATAAGCAATAAGATCAGCCACAAAATATCCCCGTCCACGGCCTTCCAGCGCTCATTTTTCACTGCGTGTCTTTAGTAAGTTCTTTTTAAACGCCTACATGTTAAAGTTTGCCAGGCATTAAAGTTGCACATGATCTCCAGCTGTATCCTGACGGTGTGTGTGTGTGTGTGTTGTGCTTGTTCAGCTGTCCAGTCGGGCTCTTCGCCACCAGCTGAAGCCCAGCGTGACCCTGAAGCTGGTCCTGGAGGACGGGCCGGGTCTCAGGGCCCGTGTGCTTCAGACGGACCCCTCCACCCTGCAGAACCTCATCCGGGAGCTGGAGCGAGCGCTGGCCGAGCTCAAGAGCAGCCACTGCAGACGAGTGCTGCGCAACATCAAGTAGAGCGCACACACACACACACACGCGCTCAGAGACTCCTGGTTACAGCGGTGCGCAGACATCTGCAGTTTTAATGTGAGCTTAGAGGGATAGTTCACCCGAACATGAAAATCCTGTCATCATTACTCACCCGATCATGTCCTTCCGAACCCGTGAGACCTCTGTTCATCTTCAGAACACAAATGAAGATGTTTTAATGAAGTCGGAGCTGTTTATGTCCCTCCATTCACCCGAAACTCTGATGCTGCAAGTAGTTCACAAATGAGATTGTGAAAGAAGTCCATATGGATCCGTATGATCCAGATCTGAAGAGAACAGATTGACTTTAGGCTTTTATTCACAGATAAACATCGATCAGAAGCTGGACTGTAATTGCGTGCGAGAATGACCCTCATTGGTCCTCACGCTTGAGCCATATCTGATGTGCTCTATGTACGTTTGCTGATCAATGAAAGACTAAATTCAATCTGTTCATCATATAAAGTGATCGAGTCTCTTCAGGATATTTGGACTAAACCGCTCAATTCATATGGATTAGTTTTACGATCTCTTTATGATCTTTGAGGCGTCAAAATCGCTCAGATTCATTATAAATATCTTCATTTGTGTTCTGAAGATGAACAGAAGTGTTGCGGGTTTGGAGCGACATGATGATTACTGACAGTATTTTCATATTTGGGTGAACTAACCCTTTAAACCAGTGATGATCTAGTTGTCTCTTAGAGAAAAATGGATGCAGATTTAAATGATTCATTTGTGCCATAAGTATTAACAGATGCCTTTGCTTTATAATAAGTATGTGCACATGGAACTGAAGGGTGTATCGTGTGTATTTTGGGGGTTTACGTTCCCAGCAATATATGCACATTTAGGACCAATTTTACTGAATGTCATGTTGATGAGTTCTTGCACTCTTTCTGAAGTGTCCACCTGTAGAGTGATGATCAGGCTGAATCGCCAGTGTTTGAGCACCTCCTGCACTTATAGCATCTGCAGGATTCTGTGCAAAAGCTGAGAGTGCCACACTTTATATGTAAATGTCAGATGTCCTCGCAGAGTCCCAGTGGACCTGGTGAGAAGAACTAGATGACCATTAAACTGCCTTTTTCCTCAATACGCTTTGCACTGTTAACATTTGAACTGTATTCATGTGTTTTTAGTTGTTTTCCATCAGTTCCTGTAATAAAAACATAATCCATCAAATTTAGCTTGTATGATCCTATTCATCCTATTAAGTCTTCATGATACTGAAGTTGCGCTGGTCTTTTCTTCCCTGTTGTGCCGTTTATCCGAGTGAAACGCTTCAGGATCAAGAACAGATGTGGGCGGGGCTTGATTGTGTCTGTGGGGAGTTGATTGGATGGCTGTGGTTTGCTATTGGCTGATCTCATGTGATTGACAGGTTATAGCCCCGCCCTCGTCATCAGAGAAGAGAAGAGATGCTGCAAGAGGAAGTTACTCTGACTCAATCAAGATTACCAGAACATGAATTTAAAACAATAATGATGTGCACAGATAAATCATTTCTAATAAACACTGCAATAGTCCATAAAAAAAATAAGGCTTTTAAATGTTGATTTCAGGGTGGCTTTAATGCAAAAAACCTGGTATCAGTTTTACTTCGAGTAAAAACTTGCCGAAGCGAGCTTTCTTTGTTCCGTCAGTCAGTTCTGATGATCATGAGTCAGTTGTTGTTGAATTTCAGGGAAACTGTTTCCTTGTCTCAGGATAATGATTAATTTGCTAATTGCTAACGTTTAATCTAAAGTTAGCGAAGTCATCCACTCCCTTGTGCTCTAGTTGGCTTTACCAAGAGGTTGTGATGTAACTCTAACAGTATTACACAGACACGAGAGCAGTGCCTGCTCTCAATTACTTTTATTAACAATAATAATTACTATTGGCTAGTGCAATATCTGTTATTATATAATTACAAAAACATCATAATAACAATAAGTAGCAGTTTTGTCCTTTTTATTCGTTTTTTTTAGGGCCGAAGCACCAATGGTGCGAGGAGCCTCTTGGAATTGCTCTGTTTATTCTTTTTTAATGTTTCTATGGTGTGGAAAATTATCTGGTGGAAGGGGTCTAAAAATAAGAGTGATTACGTTTCAAAATGTATTAAAAATGTATAAAGACAGAGACAAAATTGGCATAAACGTGCATGAATAATTAATCCACAATTAGAGAATGCACATTATCATTAAGTGTTGAATTTATGTGAAGTTTAACTTCTAAAACGAATAAAATATTTGAACAAATTTATAGATTTTTATTCATTATTAAAATGTATTATTTTAATAATTACACATTTTATATATTTTAAGAACAGCATAAATATAGCAGTACACCCAGTCTACAATGCAAATGCCATATAAACACCATAAGCTTGTCATAATTCATCAGATGAAGCGGTATGAACATTTCATATCACGATTATAGGTGATCAATCATGGTATTGTTCAAATGTACAGATACACACACTGAACTCATTTCACCAAGCAAACAAATACAATCAGCAGCACTTTGCACTTTTTATTTAAACATTAAAATAACAACATTAACAATGACGTCTGGCTTTTAAATGAACAAAATGTTGATTGAGTGACTTAACACATAACATATTATCATCTTGTACAATATGTTTAAATAAAGGTTTTTTTTTAATAAAATGCATAATTTATTCAAATTTCCAATATAATTATGTACTTTGTAAGTACATAAATTGTATTTATAGATGATAACTATATAAACTGGTTATTGTGTATTTAAAACACATTGAGTGTATTAGAGAAATCTTACTTTCATTTTATATATGACTGACAAATATGCATTACATTAAGTTTATCAGTTTATGTTAAAACTGTATAATCCAAATGAATGGAAAATTGTATATGCAAATGCATAAACGTTTAAAGCGGCTCTACAGTGGGGAGAACAAGTATATGATACACTGCCGATTTTGCAGGTTTTCCCATTTACAAAGCATGTAGAAGACTGTCATGTTTATCACAGACTCTTCAACTGTGACAAAAAATCTAAAACAAAAATTCAGAAAATCACATTGTATGATTTTTAAGTAATTCATTTGCATTGTATTGCATGAGATAAGTATTTGATCACGTACTAATCAGTAAGAATTCCAGCTCTCTGATACCTCGTTTCCACCAAAAAAGAACTGGTTCGGAACTGGTGCTGGCTCAAAGTTGGTTCAACTTGCGAACCTGTTTGTTTTTCCACTGACAGAGAGCCCAGCGAACGACGTCGTTACGTCACTGTGTACGTTGCCATACGTCTTAGCCCGAGGTAAGCATGACGTGGTAAAAGAACGGTTCTAGTCCAGCAAAGAGTTGGTGCCGCTTTGGAACCAATTTTCCTGGCCGAGAACCGGTTCTTTGGCTGTCGAAACACAAAGAACTGGTTCGCGAGTAGACACCGGCTCCGAACCGGCTCTCAAAATGCTTTGGTGGAAAAGGGGTAACAGACCTGTTAGTTTCTCTTTAAGAAGCCCTCCTGTTCTCCACTCATTACCTGTATTAACTGCACCTGTTTGAACCGTTACCTGTATAAAAGTCACCTGTCCACACACTCAATCAAACAGACTCCAACCTCTCCACAATGGCCAAGACCAGAGAGCTGTGTAAGGACATCAGATCAAATTGTAGACCTGCACAAGGCCGGGATGGGCTACAGGACAATAGGCAAACAGCATGGTGAGAAGGGAACAACAGTTGGCGCAATCATTAGAAAATGGAAGAAGTTCAAGATGAAGATCTCCCTCGGTCTGGGGCTCCACGCAAGATCTCACCTCGTGGGGCATCATGAGAAAGGTGAGGGATCAGCCCAGAACTACACGGCAGGATCTGGTCAATGACCTGAAGAGAGCTGGGACCACAGTCTCAAAGAAAACCATTAGTAACACACTACGCCGTCAAGGATTAAAATCCTGCAGCGCACGCAAGGCCCCCCTGCTCAAGCCAGAGCATGTCCAGGCCCGTCTGAAGTTTGCCAATGACCATCTGGAGGATCCAGAGGAGGAATGGGAGAAGGTCATGTGGTCTGATGAGACAAAAATAGAGCTTTTTGGTCTAAACTCCACTCGCCGTGTTTGGAGGAGGAAGGGTGAGTACAATCCCAAGAACACCATCCCAACCGTGAAGCATGGAGGTGGAAACATCACTCTTTGGGGTGGTTTTCTGCAAAGGGGACAGGACGACTGCACCGTATTGAGGGGAGGATGGATGGGGCCATGTATCTTGGCCAACAACCTCCTTCCTTCAGTAAGAGCATTGAAGATGGGTCGTGGCTGGGTCTTCCAGCATGACAACGACCCGAAACACACAGCCAAAGTAAAGTCAGAATTGCGTGTTATAAAGTCAGAATTGTGTGCAATAAAGTCAGAATTGCGAGATATAAAGTCAAAATTGCATTATAACGTCAGATTTGCTTGATATAAAGTTGCAATTGCATTTTATAAAGTTAGAATTGCGAGATATAGAGTCAGAATAATTACGAGATATAGTCCGCATTGCGAGATATAAAGTCAGAATTGCGAAATATAGAGTCAGAATAATTGCGAGATATAAAGTCAGAATTACGAGATATAAAGTCAGAAATGCGTGTTATAACGTCAGAATTGCGAGATATAAAGTCAGAATTGCGAGATATAGAGTCAGAATAATTGCGAGATATAGTCCGCATTGCGAGATATAAAGTCAAAATTACGAGATATAAAGTCAGAATTGCGAGATATAAAGTCAGAATTGCGAGATATAGAGTCAGAATAATTGCGAGATATCCGCATTACGAGATATAAAGTCAGCAACATGACATCATGACTTTGCATAAACATACACGCCACTTTCAAGTCAAGTGGCGTGTTATCTATACGCATTTTGAGCTATCCGCGTGTATGTCCACGCCGAAATCTTTTGCGTGTATGTGTACGCCATTAAATGTCCGAGTGATTCCGCGTGTATGTGTACGCCATTAAATGTCCGAGTGATTCCGCGTGTATGTGTACGCCGTTAAATGTCCGAGCGAAACGAAGCAAAATCTATATCTACATCTGTGGAGCGATATTTCTTTTCCTAGGATGGTAGGAGAAGACTCATTAATGGTATTAACCCCAGTGACGGGTAGGTTTAGGGACGGGGTTGGGGTAGGTCATATATTTATATATACAGTAATGTAACGTTAAGTCAAAGGCGTTGATAAACACGCTGAAAAGCGATTATGCGTGTTGATAGCACGCCAAAAATGGAAATACGAATTGGCGTGTCATACATACGCCATTTCATGAGATCAGTCTGAAGTCAGAATTGCGAGATATAGAGTCAGAATAATTACGAGATATAGTCCGCATTGCGAGATATAAAGACAGAATTGCGAGATATAAAGACAGAATTGCGTGTTATAACGTCAGAATTGTGTGACATAAAGTCAAAATAATTGCGAGAAAAGTCAGAGTAATTACGAGATATAGTCCGCATTGCGAGATATAAAGTCAGAATTGCGAGATATAGAGTCAGAATAATTACGAGATATAGTCCGCATTGCGAGATATAGTCCGCTTTGCGAGATATAAAGTCAGAATTGCGAGATATAGAGTCAGAATAATTGCGAGATATTCTGCATTGCGAGATATAAAGTCAGAATTGCGAGATATAAAGTCAGAATTATGAGATATAAAGTCAGAATAATTGAGAGATATAAAGTCAGAATTGCGTGATATAAAGTCAGAATAATTGTGAGATATAAAGTCAGAATTGCGAGATATAAAGTCAGAATTGCGTGATATAAAGTCAGAATAATTGTGAGATATAAAGTCAGAATTGCGTGATATAAAGTCAGAATTGCGAGATATAAAGTCAGAATAATTGCGAGATATAAAGTCAGAATTGCGTGATATAAAGTCAGAATAATTGTGAGATATAAAGTCAGAATTGCGAGATATAAAGTCAGAATTGCGTGATATAAAGTCAGAATAATTGTGAGATATAAAGTCAGAATTGCGTGATATAAAGTCAGAATTGCGATATATAAAGTCAGAATAATTGCGAGATATAAAGTTAGAATTGCGTGATATAAAGTCAGAATTGCGAGATATAAAGTCAGAATAATTGCGAGATATAAAGTCAGAATTGCGTGATATAAAGTCAGAATAATTGTGAGATATAAAGTCAGAATTGCGAGATATAAAGTCAGAATTGCGTGATATAAAGTCAGAATAATTGTGAGATATAAAGTCAGAATTGCGTGATATAAAGTCAGAATTGCGAGATATAAAGTCAGAATAATTGCGAGATATAAAGTCAGAATTGCGTGATATAAAGTCAGAATAATTGTGAGATATAAAGTCAGAATTGCGAGATATAAAGTCAGAATTGCGTGATATAAAGTCAGAATAATTGTGAGATATAAAGTCAGAATTGCGTGATATAAAGTCAGAATTGCGATATATAAAGTCAGAATAATTGCGAGATATAAAGTCAGAATTGCGTGATATAAAGTCAGAATAATTGTGAGATATAAAGTCAGAATTGCGAGATATGAAGTCAGAATTGCGAGATATGAAGTCAGAATAATTGAGAGATATAAAGTCAGAATTGCGAGATTTTTTCGTCGCGAGATATAAAGTCACAATTATCTTTTAAAAAGTTTTATTCTGTGGCGGAAAAACAAGCTTCCGCAGATTCCAGACGCAGCCATCATGACGACATCAGACGAGGTCAGTTCACTTACACCGTTACGATATACCGTGACTATAAACACACCTTTTGGATTTTCCCGGGAACAATGACGAGTCCTTCACACAGCCAGAGAATCACTGCAGGCTTTCAGAGACTGTGTCGGGGAAGCTCTCATTTTTTAAGTTTCGTTACAAGCTGGTCACACATTGGCAATAAAAAAGGGATTAATACATGAAGATTCTCATACAGCTCCTTGACATGTAGTAGTAAAGCTGTTTGGCACTTGTGGAGGCCCGCTCTGCTCGGGACAGGTGTGCTTCCCATGGGAGCAGAGATCAGACCTCACACTAGCTCAACACAACTGTTGAGTCTGACTGGGCCACATTAACTCATTACTGGATCTCATGTACAGTGAGGACGAGGTGTGTGTGTGTGTGTGTGTCAGCTGGGGTTTACAGTTGACCTGATGAATGGCTTCACAACACATTTTACCCACATTTATGTTTTAGCCTGTAATCTCTGAATGACCACATCCCTCACTGCACCCATGCGACTCCACAGTGTAAAATACTGGAAATATGATTCTTCTTTAGTCTTCATCCTTTGCTGTGAAAGAATATCTGTCATTATTTAGAAACAAACAAACAAAACAAAACAAAAGCAAAAGAGTGTTTTCAGTTCTGCGGCGAAATGATGTACTATTCATGGCTGGATTCTATTTCCCAGTTTAAAACTCATTTGTTTTAAATAGGTTTTACTAATTTGATTGATTGATTTTTATTGTTCAATAATTATATGTTTTTGTACTGCTCTGTTTATTACTTCTTTACGCTGCAAAGTGTCTTACAACAAAATATTTAATACATGATATAACTTATATCACATAGTTATTACATTATTTAATACATTACATGTGAAAATGCAATTTATTTTTTTATTACTAATGAACAGTATAATTACAATAACAAATTATTCCTAAATAATTTGTTCAATAAACTTTAACATTTTTCTATTCAACATTACAAACATTTTTATGCATTTTATAACATTTTATGTTCTTTAGTCATTTTTTATTAGATTTTCATGTGCTTTCTATTTTGCTTTATTTTTATTTCAGTTTTAGTAACATCAGCACTTATCGCTTATATTATTAGTTGCCAAGGCATAATATTTAATTTTAAAAAACGTGCAATTTAATACAATAAAACAGATTATTTAAGGTATGAGTTAATAGATTAAATAACACACATTAATATATTACAATATGTAATACATTATAAATTTGGGAATTCAAGATAAAAATGTTAGGTGTTTTGTAATATTTTAAATTGCTTCGAACTAACAAGTTGATGATTAAATGCATAATATGTCAAATGTGTTATAAACGTGTGTATTATTTTTTTCCAGTGTGTTGTTTCAAATTTAATTAAAACCTATCATTAATATTTAACATGTAATATTAATACATATATTAACAACATAGTAGTAAAAAAGTAAACTGAAATTATAAACTAATTTAATGGATTACAATAAAATAGATAATTATGTCAGATTCTTTTCTCTTTTTTTTTTGTAAAAATAAATTAATAAATAAAAAGGCTGGTTTCGAATATCATTATAGCAACAATACACTTTAAAAAAAAGTTTATTTGTGGAGTTGTTAATTCCATAATCCACTGATACTGATAGTCCATTGTTTCTGTTATGTACACGAAACAGTGATAATTAAATATTCATGAGGCCCAGAGTCGTTGAATATTCATGAGCTGAGAGAGAGAGAGAGAGAGAGAGAGAGAGAGAGAGAGAGAGAGAGAGAGAGAGAGAGAGAGAGAGAGAGAGAGAGAGAGAGAGAGAGAGAGAGAGAGAGAGAGAGAGAGAGAGAGAGAGAGAGAGAGAGAGAGAGAGAGAGAGAGAGAGAGAGAGAGAGAGGAAAAGCTTGAGTTTACAAACTTTCCATCGGGACAGAAACTTCGCCAGCGGACGCAGGAAAGTTACGGAGCGCAGGAGGAATAATCTCCGGGAAAAAAAAAACAACTCAATGCGGGACAACATGACATACACTCCTTTAGCTTTATGACAACTTTTTAAAGACTTTTAAAAGCTTTTAAAGTCGGGCGAAGCAACTTTTACCAAAGAAAGAAAAGAAAAGAAAGAAGAAACAGGCCTAACCAAAGAAGTTCCTACAGGATTTTCGCAGGCCATTTTTACTCGAATACTTCGGCTTGTTTGTTATTGTTTGACACACGATGAGCGGCAACCCTCTCCAGCCTTTACCGGGCCAGCAGGTCATCCATGTCGCCAAAGACCTTGACACGGACCTGGAGGCTCTCTTCAACTCCGTCATGAACCCCAAGCCCAGCAGCTCCTGGAGGAACAAGCATCTGCCCGAGTCGTTCTTCAAGGAGCCGGACTCGGGCTCGCACTCTCGGCAGTCCAGCACGGACTCGGGCGGCCTCCCCCCGCGGCTCCAGGCGACGCACGTCCGCTCGCACTCCTCCCCGGCGTCGCTGCAGCTGCCCGCGGGCGCGCTGGGCGTCCCGAACCCCGCTCGGCACCACTCGCACATCCGACACCAGTCCTTCGACGTGGCCGAGGAGCTGCCGCTACCCCCGGGCTGGGAGATGGCCTACACCCCCAACGGACAGAAGTACTTTCTCAAGTGAGTGCCATATTAATTATTCACGGCTCTCACGAGATTCCAGCACACACAGTTTACATTAACTGACACATAAATCAGTTACACTCTAGAAAATTGTTGTTTCAACTCATGTTTGAAAAAAACACACAAAAAAAAACAGTGATGTTGTTTCTTTGATCAAACCCAAATGTAAATAAAGTGAAATGAAGAAATTGTATAAATGAATGAAGTACCAAATTAAGGTATAGGTAAAAAATACTGGGTTGTTTCAATGGTCTAATATGGATAAACTCAACTGTTTGGTTTAACATGTTAAAATTCAGGCGTCCATATTTGGTCAACCCATCATTTTTAGTGTACGGTAATATATACACTTCGTTTTCTTGGTTTATTTATAAAATTGCTTTTTTTTACATATGTTGTGGATATGGATAAACACAACTGTTGGGTTTAGCCTAAATGTTTAAAATTCAGCCGTAAAGTTCAGCATAAAGCATAAAATTACAATTTTATAAATAAACCAAGTAAATGAAGTGTGTATAATATACTTCATTTACTTGGTTTATTTATAAAATTGCTTAATTTCACTTTATTTACATTTGTTGTTGATGATTCATCTCGAAACATCATCACTGTGTTTTTTAAAGGGCAATAGGTTGTGATCTCTAAACCGGTTTCAGATCCGAATCAGTGCACGGCGTTCACACTGGTGAAATCTCTGCAGTCACGATTAAGCTTTCATTTTGACCTGTGAACAGACTAATGCAGAAGGCGTGGGTCTGAAACACACAAAACGGTATCTGGGCGTGGATCAGAAAGACAAAAACACCCGGTCGTGTGTAACGCATGCTTCACACTGCAAGCCTATGATCAAGGCTCTTTCTCACCTTGATAAGGATGTGTTTAGCATATCTCAGTGTCTCTCAATGTAAATGTGTGTTTTGACTTGCGTCTCTTCAGGAATGAGACAGCTATTCTTCTGTGGCCCTGGGGACACTGGTCTTATCTGATTCAGTCACCAGGGTTGTGATCGCCCCGGTGGGACGTCGACTGTGGGTTCGCTAGCCGAGATTAACTCAGTCTCGCCCCCAGGATCACACCCTGTGTTCAGGAGACAAACACACGTGGAGATTAAACCGCTTTAATGCGTCGAAATCTTATTTGCTGACACTAGAGAGCAACATCAATTCTCACCTACATGCTAAAACAATTAGTTAGCCTCCTCTGTCCTGCAACTAGTGAGTGTTCGTCTGTTCTCGGGGTTGTATTGGTCCCGTTTGTGGATAAACATGGCTGTTAAATCAGTGCTTCTCCATTGCTTTGGCCTTGGGATCCAGATTTGCACCGAAATATGATTGGACACATTGATGTCAACAACAAATGATTTAAAAGTTGACTAGCTTATTTATTTTGATATTCTATTGCTATATACTATGCCTGATTAGCCTATATGGTTAATACTTTATTATTCACATTTAGCATTTTTCATTGCTGTATGCAAGCCATTTTTGGGCTTATATACAAAACAAAAAAAAGTCTCTTCTGCTCAGCAAGGCTGCATTTATTTGATTACAAATACAGTAATAACAGTAATATTGTGAAATATTATTACAATTTAAAATAACTGTTTTCTATGTGAATATATAGTAAAGTGTAATTTATTCCTGTGATCAAAGCACTCATTTCTCCAGTCTTCAGTGTCACATGATCCTTCAGAAATCACTCTAATATGATGATCTGATGCTCAAGAAACATTTCTCATTATTATCAATGTTGAAAACAGCTGTGCTGCTGCTTCATATTTTTGTGGAAACCGTGACACTGAAGTTTAAAGATTAGAAAAAAGTAAAAAAGAAAAGAAATTAATACTTTTATCCATCAAGAATGCATTAAATTGACCAAAAATGACAGTAAAGACATTTATAATGTTACAAACAAATTCTATTTCAAATTAATGCTGTTCTTTTGAACTTTGTATTCATCAACGAATCCTGAAAAAATGTATCACGGTTTCCACAAAAATATGAAGCAGCAGCACAGCTCTTTTCAACATTCATAATAATCATAAATGTTTCTCGAGCATCAGATCATCATATTAGAGTGATTTCTGGAGGATCATGTGACACTGAAGACTGGAGAAATCCAGCTTTGATCACAGGAATAAATTACACTCTACTATATATTCACATACAGCTGATTTACATTGTAACAATATTTCACAATATTACTGTTATTACTGTATTTGTAATCAAATAAATGCAGCCTTGCTGAGCAGAAGAGACTTCCTTCAAAAACATAAACACATTTCAAATATTCCAAACATTTGACTGGGAATGTAAATAAATGCTCTATATATGAGAGTCCATGTTCTTTTTTTTTTTAGATTATCAACCAAACTATACATTTCTATGTGGAAATACTTATAAATGTGGTTAGGTAACTTTACAGATGCTTCGATCATCTACATTTAATCATTTAGCAGACACTTCTGTCCAAAGCGACTTACAAATGATCATGTATTGGTTCACTTCAGATAGTGTTGGGCTTCACCGGGACAGCCTGTGTTTCACCTGAAACTCTCTGTGTGAGCCTCGTGATAAAGCGTGCCAGGGCTTGCCACACATTCAGTGAGCGGACAGACAGACTCCTCCGCCACCAACAGAGCTTCACACACACACACACACACCCTGCAATTACACCTAACCAACCTGTCCGTGATGAGCTGAACCTCTGAGCGTCAGTGCCTGTGCTGACTCCACAGGTGATCAGCAGGAGTGTGTGGAGGCTCGGGACGGGGACATGCTGGCAGTGTGAGACACTGATACGTCGCCGTCTTCTTCTTCTTCTTCTTCTTCTTCTTCTTCTTCTTCTTCTTCTTCGGATTGTTGCAGCTGTTGGTTGTCGTTCACCCCCACTATTAGGGAACGCGTATCTCTTTCCAGCGTCACATGACCCCCCTCTTTCTGCCTAAACATTTTTCTGGATATCTTTGTTACGACTTGCAATTCAAGACGCCACAGCTTGAACGTCTCAGTGCAGAGTTATTGAGTTGTTTGGTAGCAGAGAGAAGCAGCACATTCACAACCAAATCTCCTGACTGTTGAACGCTTTGCTGAGTTGGTGGCTAATTCAGATGAAATTCGTACAATCTCATGAACTTTTTCGTACGATCTGCTCACGTCCCACTGACGGTCTTACTTTTTTCAAATTTTTTTTAGTACAAATTCATACGAAATGACACTAAAATGACTGTTTTATCATGAGATATGCAGTTTTGAGCATCAGCATCAATCCAACGAAAAATAAAAACTCATTTAATTAAAAAAGATTTGCATCACAGTATAAAATAGAGATTCAGAAATACTGAAAAAAATTAACTGTGCAAATTCTAGATCTTTAAAGCCCCGCTGTGGTGTGAATCCAGCTTTTAATGTTGCTTATGTGTCTATGTGGTGTTTTTAATACGCTTTAAGACACACCATGTGTAGATTCATAAGTCGACAGCATTGCTGAGTATTTCCTCCTTAAAACTGCAGTGAACCAAAGACAGTCTCAAAAACACGGTTTGAAATCGCTGGTGTTTCTGACGTCACAAACGACCTTGTAACCAATCAGATCAACGTGTGATCGTCAACCAGTGGATCTCTGAGCTGAGTGAGTGAGTGGAGGCGGGGCTCATTTGCATATTCATAGAACCACGCACACTAAAGGAGGCGAGGGTGTCGAGTTACATTCAAGATATTTCAAGGCATGAAGACATTTTTTTTTTTTTAAGAAAAAACGTTTAAATGTAATTTTGGTGATTAAAGATGTGTTTTAAGGGATAAAATGATTGACTACAGGGGGACTTTAACTGTTTGTTAACTGTTTCTTTGCCCAACTTCACTATACAGGGAGAAAATCTTTCAGCAAGTGGTTTATGTTTTACCGTTATTGCTCTAAAACAAACACACACACAGCTTTGATCTAAAGTGAAGTGAGGCGAAAGAATTGTAGCTTTTCTAGTTCATTCTTTTGATGCCATGTAAAGCAGGAGAATGTCTTCCCTTCAGGCTTTTTGCTGGCCGTTTTCCTCCATTATGTTGAAGAGAAGCGGTGAATAAGGTATCACTGCTAGCTCACATCTTTCTGTAAGACTTGAAGAGATCATGACAGCGTTTACTGAGTTTCGACTGACGCTCTGAGACACACTCATTTATGATGGAGGGAAAAGAGTGACGATTTAGTTCTCTTGAACACATGGGAAGGAAACGCTGCTTTATTCACAACTGTTGTTTGCCATATTCCAATTTGTGCATAAATTTGCAACTTTAAATGGAAACATGGCTATTGTCTTCACCCAAAATGTGATTTCTACACAAATGTATTTTTTAAAATCTCATTTTTAATCTCTAATAACTAATCATTTTTATTTTATTTTTGGACTGAAATTTAACCATGTTCTTGACAGGTTTGGTGAGATTGACCCATATAAATGAAAATGGCACATAACAGATAGACTTAAAGGCCCCCTGAAATCATAATTTAAGTTTTTTAGCTCTTAATATGAATATTTTAGCCTTAAGGTTATGAATAAGCTGGTGTGTTTCAAAACAATGACACGATTCGCGTTTAGGAGATATAACTTACAGTCTCTCACTTCTGCTGAAGTGGATCAGGGAATTTTATGACATCATCGCCGAATTCAGCTTCTCATCACATCTTCTGTCCAATCAAAGGCTCTCTAGAATCTAAAGCTCCGCCCCCTCTGCTATAAACACCACCTGGCCGAAGCGAGCGTTGACTCGTCACAGAGCAATATGGGTTGGAGATGTGAGTTTGGTTGCTCAAACGCTCGAGTTTTCATAGTTGATTAAAAATGAAATGGCTAGAATTTATTCACATCTCTACTATTGAATCCAGCGTATCATCAGCGCTCGGATTCGCTGCTGTCAAGTACGACTCGCAGTCTGTGAGGGAAACTAAACGCTATTGGCTATTTGAAAAGGGGGAGGAGCCACTCAATATGTCCCGCCTCCGCT